GACCTCTTTTTTTACCAATTTCAAGACTATCAACAAATTCCTTGATATAATTCAGCTCTAAGGGTGTTCTGATTATGACGAAAATAATCTAATCTAGATGTTTCAATTTTCACGTACATGTCAACAACATATTGTTGTAAAAGCCTTCCAGAATGTAATGATATTGAATTTGATAATAATCTTATCTGTAAATTATAACAATAGTGTTCCCTACATGAAACTTGCATTCTGGTTCTCTTATTTTCCATCATTAAAAAAAATTAAAAACAAAATTAGAAAAAATAATCATTCACATAAAATAACAAAAATAAAGTATTCTAACAATTCATGTAAGCATATAAGGGTACAAATGTAGAAAATGATAATTTGATGAATGAACATGTCGTTTCCTTATCAATCAACTCCTCAGGTGAAAAGAAATTAACTGCATCAACAATGTCTTCATTTTTGCAAAAAAAAAAAAAAATCTTTTTATCCGTTCTAATTCGTTGAATACCTTGGTGTCATCCTATTTCACCACAAGGAAATAAAAGCGGATATTGAAGTGGGTCATAACACCCAAAATAATAGTGTATTCTATTTTTATTTCCATTCTTACAATGAATTACTATATCACACATATGAATATCATCATAATCATCATGATCAACCACAATAGCAGCAACTTGTGAAACACTTGCCTTATTATATGTCCTTTGATCAACAACTGGGTTACAGTGAATTCGAATAAAATGATTTTCTAAATTAGGAGCATCTCCCAGATTGCGAAAAAAAAAATTGTGTAAGGATTCTTTTTTAGAATGTTCATAAGTTTAGCAACAATAGACTCAACTAACCAATCACTATGATTGAGCCTATTTTCCACTTCATTTTCAGTGTCGAAAAAGTAAAGCTGCAAATGAGAAGGACGATTGTCCACAGGAAAAATTTCATTTATAAAATGGTAAACCTGACCTTGAATTTTAAATGTATAGATACCATTATAATTTGTACATAAATTTTTATCATAATTTACACCAAACGATGTCACAGAAAAATTGCAATTATAGCTTCGTACCATGTCTCTAAAGTTTAAACTTTCTTCGGAATTTGAAGTAAACAACATACGTAATTCTATGGGCATGTCATTTGTTTTTAAAATAACTTGTCCATTTAAACAACAAAATCCCTTAGATTCTCTATGAAATTTCACAACGCCACAATGATCACAAATACTTGGTTCAAGTAGCACATAAGGTTCCGAAAAAAAGACTGTCGTCATATTGCTGTGTTTCTGAAATCCCTAAAAAAATTCATAAAAATTTGAATACAAAATACAACTTGACAATAGATTTTTATTCCTGTTTATAACAAAAACAAATATGGTATAATGCACATGAATAAAATGAAATAATGATTTACAATTCTTACCAGGCTCTTTGTCGCAACGTTCATCACAATTGAACCCTTCAACCATTAAAAAGCTATCACAATTCCATCCCACATTTAATTGAACACATTCCTCAGATCTGACCCTTTTTTTGTTACCGTCATCGTCATACTTGTCTTCTAGTACATTAGTAATAGTCCGTTGCCGTTTAGAATTCAATTCTGTTCCATTTAAACCTCCTGAATCATTCACTTCATAAAAACAATAAACATTAACATTAGATGGAAGTCTATGGCAAAAAATGTAGTATGTATTTCATATGACCAAACCTCATACATATAGTTCAAACATAAACACCATATGAATGAGTCCACATAATCGATAGAGTACAATTACTAACCAACATTAGTAGTTTCAACAGAAGTGATCCCTTCGTTCTGGGAAAAAGACTTATTTCGGGCATATAATCAGATAAAGTAATGGCAATTTTGCTTCCCAAAGTTTTCTTCCATACTCTCTTCGAAACTGATATGAAAAGAATAAATACTATGAGCTCTATAAAAAATAATATGTTCCAAACAACATTCACTGACCAAAATAGGAAAAAATAGGAGGAAACCCCAAAAACTCATGGCAATATTGGAAATAAAAGAAATAGGTAAAACTAAAAATCCAAAAATAAAGAGAGGAAGAGAAAAATTAAAAGCAAAACCCAAAAGATTCTTAACAATATTCAAATAAATAGTAAACCCATCAACCATACCCAAGAGATCTTAGCAAAAAACGACATCTAGTTACCAAAATAGGAAAATATCGAAGAAACCCTAAAATATTATTGGCAACATCGAAATAAATAGTAAGCCCATCAACCATACCCAAGATTCATAGCAAAAAATCAATATTTACTTATCAAAAATGAAAGTAATCAAAAAAACAGTTTGAAAATTGAAGAGGGAAAGAATGAAGGTGCAAATACCGTAGAAGAAAAAGTCGAAGATTACAGAAAAAATCTCCCACGGAAAAAAGACATTTAGTTACCAAAATAGGAAAAAATCGAAGAAACTCTAAATCATTATCGGCAATATCGAAATAAATAGTAAACCCATCAACCATACCCAAGATTCACAACAAAAAATCAATATTTATTTATCAAAAATGAAAGTAATCAGAAAAAAGTTTGAAAACTATAAAGCGAAAGAATGAATGTGCAAATACCGTCGGAGAAGAAGTCGAAGATTGCAAGAAAAACTCTCCCACGAAATAGAGAGGAGAAGCCGACGACTAAAGGTCACGAAACTGAGAGAATAAAGAACGAAGGTGCAAATACCGTCGGCGAAGAAGCCAAAGATTGCAGAAAAAATCTCCCACGAAAAAGAGAGGAGAAGTTGGCGGCTAAAGGTCACAAAACTGAGAGGAATTTGTAGGCTATTTTCTTAGGGTTTGTGTGGAAGCTGAAGAATCGGGCAATAGCCAAAAAGGAAGGAAAATATTAAAATATACGTAAAAAAGAGAAAAAGAAAAAAAAAAGGGCACAACTGAAATTTTGAAAAGAAAAAAGGGTACAATCGGAAATTAGGCCTTATGAATAGTGCAAGTGAAGTTGTCTCTTTTATTATTGTAATGGATTTGTGTAGAAGCTAAAGAATTGGGCAACAGCCAAAAAGTAAGGAAAATGTTAAAATATACGTAAAAAAGAGGGGAAAAAAGGACACAACTGGAATTTTGAAAAGAAAAAAGGGTACAAACGAAAATTAGGCCTTATGAATGGTGCAAGTGAAGTTGTCTCCTTTATTATTGTAATATATATCAAGTGAAAATCATTTTTTGGACGATTATAACCCTGCCACAATTCAATTATTTCATTAATAACTTGCTTTTCATTTTTACAATATGTATTTAATTTATAAACTATAATAAATATTATGAAATCCTTGTTCATGCACATATTCTTTGTTATTAATTCTCAATTAATTAATCTTTACGTTCGTTTAATTGATATTAAATTAGAAGTTTTCATTCAAGATTGCGGTTCATTATTCTTGTTCATGTATGCTAATTAGCATCCAATTTCACTTAATTGGAAATTAAATTATATTCATTTAATATAAATAATTTAACATTTATTGTCACATATATGTTCCTTGGTATTAAATCTAAATTAGCTAACATTCACTTTAATTCATATATCACATTTGCCACTCATCTTCATTTATGCATTTAATTAAATTCTAAAACTCACATTCAAGTATGTATTTCACTATTTACATGCACGTAATTAACATTTATTTTTAGGGATTTGCATTTCTTTCATATTTATAAAGAATTTTCAAAATAAGCACATTCAACTCTGGCTAATTCTCACAAGTATACTTTCTTTTTCTCTGAAAGGAAAATAGCAGCTTCCGTTCACCACAAACATACGGACTACAATTTATCTAACATGAACTCACCCGAGAAGAAATAGTAAGAGGCGAAGTTATGATTGAATTTCTATGATGAGGAATATAACAACAAGAATATCAAAAAGATAAAGGCATTAGTTGCAAAATTACTATTATCATTGAGTCCATGAATCGTACTAATTGCATTACACTCTACCTGCCGAGTATGGACTCCATTTTGAATGGCAAAAGCAAGATCATAACGATAAGTAATTGCTTCCACATCCTAAGTTGAGATATGACCAAAGATCCTTCGGGAATAAGCAATAATCACCAGCCTTTCTCGATTACGCATAAACCCGCCAAAACCAGTACCCTTACTTTTAAGTTACTAAGCCCCAATTTGATGAGGCTTAAAAATTTGATATAAATCTAAGTCAGATTCAAGAATTAATTTTAAGTACAAATTTCATAAAACTCATAACTTTTAGGGGGCGTTTGTTTCCTATTATTGAAAAAATGAGAATGAAAAATATAGCTGTTATGGATCCCACACAAGAGATAAAAATTCAAATTTGATGACTTGATGTGATGAATAACAATCATATTTTTCATTTTAATGGAAAAGAAATGGGAAATAAACAGGGGCTTATTAACTTTTCAACTATGCATTTCATTAACATTTGTCAAAATTTACTAAAATTATATATGCTATTTCAAAGAATTTCACAAACAAATATGTAAGGCACGTTAAAAAGTAGTCGCGCCCATTTGCGATGAAAAGTGCAAGTGCAACTAGCAAGCTTTCCGAAAATGGATCAAGAGAAAAAGACCATACACCAACCATTCACAAGTAGACTACAATTATTCATACTATAAAGATCTTGATTAAGAACTTGTTTGGGGAGATTAATATTTGATTTTAATCCCTACCAAACACCCTATATAATTCTATATTTGAAACAACACTGAATTATGGCGATGAGGCCACATCAATATCAGTCTTAACATATTCAATACATTCAAGATTGTAAAATTAATAATATATATATATATATATATATATATATATGCTATTTCAAAGAATTTCACAAACAAATATGTAAGGCACGTTAAAAAGTAGTCGCGCCCATTTGCGATGAAAAGTGCAAGTGCAACTAGCAAGCTTTCCGAAAATGGATCAAGAGAAAAAGACCATACACCAACCATTCACAAGTAGACTACAATTATTCATACTATAAAGATCTTGATTAAGAACTTGTTTGGGGAGATTAATATTTGATTTTAATCCCTACCAAACACCCTATATAATTCTATATTTGAAACAACACTGAATTATGGCGATGAGGCCACATCAATATCAGTCTTAACATATTCAATACATTCAAGATTGTAAAATTAATACACTGCATCCACCCACTACCTACTGCTTAATTTCAACTATATCAGATTTGCACAAGAAAAGATCGGTTAAATTTGTGTAGGAGAAGGAAAAATGAAAAGAAACTAGTACCAAGAACTTTTTTCTCACTTCACATAGACCGTCCAACAACCTTTCAGACCCTGCATGAAAAGAAACAGAGGAAGCACATAAATGAAATCGAAAGAGTTGAAGTCTATAACAATATGCAAACTTGAAACCACCAAATGCCGGGAACCCAAAAACACAAACAAAAACAAAAAAAATGCCGTGCTTACCCATGATAATATTTGAAATCAAGCTACATAAAACCAAGAAAATTTTGTTTTGGATGGAACGGTAATTTTATTCAAATGGATTTGCAGCATCAAGTACTAGCATGTTTCTGAATCTTAGCATGAGAACTCCTACTGCATTATAAATTTGTCAAAGCAAATCTGTGCAAACCAAAAGTCGGTTTCATCCAAGGAGGCAGATAAGATATAGGACAGGAAGAAGATAAGACAAGGTTACGGACAAGGTGATGTAGAATAACTCAGTAAGTATAATAAGAGGAGAAGGGAGAAGAAGAAGACAGAGGCGGGGAAGAGAGGAGAAACGGCTGCAAGCCAACTCTTTATTTAATCAAATTCATCGTCCAAAATTACAAACCAAGATAGGTTTAAATAATAAAAACCTAGAAATATAGGGCCAAGCCCATTATTTAAGTCCTAACTAAAATACGTAAACTTAAATAAAAGTCCAACTGAAACAATAATAAATGTCCAACTAAAATACTGAAACAATAATAAAAGTCCAACTATAATGATGTCCTCATTACAAGGCATTCTAACTCCGGGTTTGAATCCAAAAAATGTTTTTCTCTAAAGGCTAGACTTCATAACCATAAGACCAGAGGAGCTATGTGTGAATGAAAAATAGCTCATGTGCTAATTCTAGCACTGGAATACAGGGCATGGCAATTTACTGAAAGAACCAGCATGTATTAATACACTTCATCAGCCAATCTAATGCTCAATTCTAATTTCAGAATTCCAAATTAGCACCTCTTGTGCATTAACAAGAAGAAAGTAGTGAAATCAAATAATCAATAGTAGAGCTAAAACAATATTGCGATTTATAGATAAATCACCTAATCAATTAGAAAAGAGAGAAAAGATAAAAACTCGAAGCATACCATTTGATGATTGAGCCAAATAGAAAATGCTGCATAATAGGAACCTTCTCCAAAACTTCCACTTTATACATCTTGAGCATCCCACTGTTCACCTTATTCCAAGTAGGAACACCGCTAATGTCATCCAACAATGGTGAATGTTCAGCAAATAAACCCTTCTTTGCTTTCTTCACAAATACAATACATGATAGATACAGATACTCATTTGCAAAATTCTCCAAAATATCATCATTATGAATTGACTTTGGCTTCATATGCTTGTGGTCAATTAACTGTGATGACCCAAATATAAATGGTAAGAAATGATAGTCATCAAGTCCCCACACACCGTGGGATCCTGCAGGCTCTAAAGAGTATGTAAGTTGCAATTTTCTCATCAGGTCCATGTACTTGACAAACACTCTTGCAACCAATGCCGGATAATCCTCTTCTTTAACAATGCCCAATCTTGCTAAACAATACAACCACGCTGCAAAATTTGTCTCATGACCAGTACCTATTTGATAAAAAAACAAAAACATACAATAAATTGTCACCCTTTGCAACAAAGAAAAATGATAAAGAGTAGCACAAAGTCTACCAACATTCACAAGAACATTATTGATTGAGGAACAGCAGCAATCAAAGCTTTATTCCCAACAAATACAAGGCATACCATAGATACATAAAAATAAAATGTATCCGAACATACGCATGCAACCTATTCATAATTATGTTACTGAAGATTGGAAGGCATTCATTGAGTACTTGTGAAATATATATTTTGCTGAGATGACAATCATCAAGTGGAAGTGCAGATATAGAGATTCGGATAACAGAGGTTTCAAAGTCTGCTTCATCCTCGTTATTTAGTTATTATTGGACCTCTAGTGCTCTAGCACTGCAAGTTACTAAGTGAAAAATTAATCCCATCATCAATCTGACTCTATAAGCATTTCAATTCAAAATTTGATCTCAAGATCATTCAACTAGGAAAAATCTTAAAGCATTCCAAAGGGAACCAACAAGTTTCGGGATTGTTTCCATCTGGGAACTGCTCTCAAAGTAAAAACAAAATCACCAAATCTAACTTGCATAAACAATAAATTTAAAGGTTAACTATTGTTGGCTATTTGTTATGAAACATAATTTTTTTTTTCTTTTTTTCTTTTTTCAATTGATTCGTCTTAGACCACTTTATTGCATTTTTGATTTTTTTTTTCTTAAAGATTTCAAAGTCATTTAACTATCTGAGGTTATGATCGATTAGCTGGACAAACAACATTTACTCAAATACGAAAAAGACGTATTAGAATGATACTATATGACTTTTAAGAAGAAAGCATTCAAGGGAAGAGTAATTTCCTTGCACTGTTTCTAATTACACAAGGCATCTGAAGGTCAAATGATGATTCGTGATGCTAGATAAATGAATTAAGAAAAATGAAAAAAGTAAAATTGATAACATATATTTACAATGGTGATTCTCTGCGGATTTGGACTACATCAACAGTACAAGAACAGTTACGCCACATTGCATAACATCACTTGTGTCTTGGAAGTAGTCTTCAGTAAAACATAAATCCTCATTCATCATATGCTGGGATAGTTTTTGCAAAAAAAGGATTCAGAATGAGAAATATGTTCGCATATCTTCTAAAATTGAAATTAGGCATCCCTTTGGTACATCATTGCTAGCTACCCTCAAGTGAGGGTTTGTCTCCAGAAAAAAGGTTAGAGCCAAACCATGGAAAAGTTCACAGTTTAGCTTACATTTATTAGCATATATTTATCCAAAAGTATTTTAGCATAAAAACTAATTTCACTTACTCAAAACTTTAATACATAAATGTAACCTTGAAATGCTGATCCAAAATTGATGATTCATCAAAAGTTCAGTATCATTTTAACAATGGTTATTTTCCACGCAATTTGAGCTACAAGATACATACAAGTGGTTTTCCAATATTAGCTTCAACAAATATCATCTACATCCCCGAGGCAAAACGTTTATGTAACATGAATATCCATATTGCAACATATACAGAAAAAATAAAATAAAAATTAATAAAGGAAAAGATATAAGCACCATAATCAATGCGGCTAGAGTTGCCAAAGCTATCAGTGAAATAAGGCACGAGTTCCACAGTGGCACCGTGAAGATCCGGCGGAAGGAATGTCAGCATAAAAGACTCAGCATCTGAGCTAATTCTCTCGTGCCACGCGCGATAAGCAACATTCCCATACCGAGAGGATTGAGGGGCCGGCGGGATTTCATCTACATAATCACTCAGAGTCTGAAGAATCGAAATGATGACTTCGATGGTCGAAGAAACATGGCAGGGATCTGAAAGCTTGTGGGATTTGATAGACTCGGAAAGTGAAACAACAAAGCCGAGAAAATTGTGAAAAATGGGGGAGGAGTGGAACCAAACGATGTCGTCTTGGGAGCGGATTATCTTCGACGGGGTGGTGAAGTGGTAGGGTGGGGAAATGGGATCAACTTTTTGGGGTTGCGGGACCGGAGTACGGATGATGGCCTCTTTACTGTTTGTTGGTGGGTTGGGGAGGTTGACGGCAGGGAATCGGATGGGGATGTAAGAAGGGGTGGCGGATATGTTCGGCGGAGGAGGGAAACGAGTGGGTCCGCCGCAGCTGGGGCAGGTTGTGTGTGGCTGAGAGAGTCTTGATGGCTCTTCTTCTTGTTGGTGGTGGTGGTCGCGTGGCGGTTCCATTTGATTTGCAGACCAGTTTTGAAGGTGGTAATGTGCACTATAATAAATAAGGGGATACAAGAACTGCACTAGAATTTTTATTTTATTTTATTTATTTATTTTTTACGATTAGCCAACAAGACTGCTGTTAGGTATCATCGCTATATATATTTTTGAGAACGGCAAAATTAATTGATTTATCCACACCCAAATTTATTTTCGAGCTATATAAGAAAAAATATTCGACATGAAAAAAGGAAAAATCATGTCCCCCAAGCACAAATTCGAACACGTTAGACCTCACTATCTCGTAAAATTTTAAAAATTACTCTCCAACAATTTCAACTCTTACACCTCATCTCACATACGTCGCTTTGACGTAGGTTGTTAAAAAATATTACCAAGACGAAAAATTTGCACCATTTCTTCTTCACTATCAATATAGATGTTGGATAAATACATTGAAGGTGTAATTTTATTAACCAAATATGTATGTACATGCAGACAGAAACTCATTACTGTATTCATTCAATGGATAAATTTTCCAACCGCCGTAATCTGCACTTTTTTTTTTTTTTTTTTAAAGTACAAAGTCTGGGGGAACGAATGAGGAAAAAAGGAAATAACTCAATACATTCTTTTGTAATACTTTCTTCTTCAACAAAGGCAAAATTATATTTTAAATATGCTTCTCATTTTAAGATTTAATAGCCACCAGATGTTACAATACAAAATGACAATACTTATTGTACGGGGGCCAGTTGCTTCAACTTCGCTTGTAGTATTGCCCCGGTTTCATCTGCCAAGCTTTTCTTCTTAGCAGCAACCTGCGAAATACCAAGTGTGTACTTACTGAGCAATCGCGTCAAGGGTGAAACAGAAAAAGTTTCCTACTGGGATAAGATTTTAAACTCCAAAGCCAAAAGAAATGCTACATTAAAAGTTCGTTAGGTTCTGTTGTAAAACCTTGTGGTTTGA